CGACAGTTGCTATCCAAGTGGGTTCCGTGGCCTGTTTCAACTGAGGCGTGGCAACGTGTTCATACCGATTATTGTGGTCTATTTCTCAATGGAATGTACGCGCTTGTTGTCATTGATTCCTTCTCCAAGCGGCCAGAGGTATTTTTCACTAAGTCACCTTCATCAGACTTTACTATTCATGCTTTGCGTAAATTTTTCAGTCAAGAAGGCATTCCTTCTGTACTTGTTACCGATAATGGCAATCACTTCTACACGAAAAGTGTTTCAGAATGACTGCAAACATTGGTTTACTGCTCCTTGCTCTAATGGACAAGCAGAGAATTTTGTTAGAACACTTAAAAGTGCTATTACTGCTTTAAATCCACCCACATTTTCTGAACTTGAAAGAGGTGTTGATTTGTTTCTTTTACAATATCGAAATTCTGTTCATTCATCCACTAAAGAAATACCTGCTGAACTTTCAAAAGGTCGAAATCTGAGATCCAATTTATTGCGTATTAATTCTTCTGAAATTGTATTTTTCCGTGGTAATGACCTAAGACCCTCCTCAGTAATTATCCTCAAGTCTTTAGGTCGAAGAATGCTCCAACTACTTGACAAGGATGATTTGTCTATACACAGAATACATGTGGACCAAATTAGCTTTGACAATCCAAGTCAGTCAGTTCCAATTCATGATGAAAATTTCGAGTCTAATAATGTTTCTTTAGATACTAAGCAACCTGATACGACTGATGAACAGAATGTTGAACAACAAGCCGCCACGGAAGAATTACGTGTGAATGAAAAAGTCCTACGAAGGTCTGAACGACTGAGTGCAAAGCCCAGACTGAATTACAGAAATCCTGTGGTCAATTCAAGGTGCGGCGAGTGTGATGTGTGACACTGACCTCGAAATTCATTGTACGCTTTAAATGCATTGAATATGCATAGCATACGATTCGAATAAAGTTCGTGTGCTATTCAATTCGAAGTTGTTCTATTTCGGAGATTGGTATTGCGCGAATTCCGGAACCCCATTTCGAATACTATTCCCAATACTACAGCCACTATCGCCTTTGTTAGACCCATTTTAATCTTTTTACTTCCTTCTTTGTGGCCGGATGAGTACTACACCCGGAACGACAAAGAAAACTGACGTATAAGAGTGCAGACTTCATGGTTGCTCAAAACTAATCTCATAGGCTGACGAGGAGAGAACGGAAACATTGGAGATCGAAGTAAAATATGTAATTATCATATCTATACATGTTTGACTGGTCCATGTAAGAAGCTACGATGGTATCAAATCACGATGAATCGGGGGGCGGTGGAGATGAGGGCGACGTCGGTGGTGAAACAGATTCGTAGCTATGTTCGGTCAATTTTGGGGTCTGATCCGTTGGGAGCATAGTATTTTCCATTTCCATCTGTTTCGGTTTGAGAAATATCCGATCTAATACCAGAGTTTTGGTACATTTCAGTACAGACAATGTGGGTGCTGGGTATCGAGTGCAAGATGGTCGATCCAAAGCTATATTCGTCTCACTTTGTTCAGTACCTCCGTCCGTTTGGTAAGAAGCCTGTGGTCCGGATAGAGTGCTCGCCGAGTTGATGAACATTAGTGTGCCGATTACGTTCTCGTAATGACCCTCGAACACAGCAGGACCAACCTGGAAAATAAGATAGCAAGAACCTGGGCTATAACAGTTCGCATAATATGTAAGAAAGCTTATTTATAACCCCAATGACCCAGGTTCCTTTTCAACCCGGTACTGATCGACGGGTTCGTGTATGAGGCTTTTCAAGTTCCTATCGTCGTCTTGAACACTGACATCGGAAGTTCGAACCCTACTACAGCCATCCAGGGCTTAGTGGCAGGCAAGTTCAACTATCATCTAACTCGACACCGCATCTATTCCATTTTGATATCACACAGTCCGCCGATCCAAGTTCCAGGACCAAGGAACACGGCTCATGTGACTGTACAGGTCACGTCGTGAGCGGAGGATTTAGTTGTTTATTCCACACTATGGATTTTAACGAAAGAACCCCCCGAATAGCTCATTTTTCATGTGGTGATGGCGAACTGGTTTATTCGCTGTCACCAGCGTGCTTTGGACTCTATGGCCCGAGGTTCGAGCCCCGCCACCCGACTTTGGTGATAGGCAGCTCTGCTATCGTCTGATTCCATACCACGCCTAACCTATCGGGGTCTTATGTGATTCGCTACTCCAAGGATGCCGGTTTCCACCATTGAACAGCAAGTAGGTCCTCGTAACTATGGGGTTCGCCCAGTTTGCTGTTCATCACACTTGGGTTTGCAATAAAAATGTGAAAACAACACGATCGATATATGCTCGATGTTTAAACTGGTAAATTAGATAAGATAGCACTGACCAGTCGTACATACGAACATACATCCTAATTGAAAAGAGTTCCAACAGAAGGTGTTACCCATCAAAGTCACTCGGCGAGAGTGATGCAGTTCCGTACAAAGGTATATGTATGTGTGTGGCGATCAAAGAGACCCGCATCCAGAACACAAAAACGTGAGAGAATAATTTCCTTCACTTATTTTTGAAAAAGAAAACTAGTTTGGGGGCTCCCGCGTAATTCCCTATGTTTGAAACAACGTTTAGAAAATATTGTAATTGATATCGTTGTTGCTCATTTGAGCAACAGATAAAACGATTTGAAAGTGATTTTATTATGCCACACAGCTGGACAGCTGGAAAGTTACTGAATTATGACAGACGATTCAATCTGGTGCGGAACTGTGAGCGAAACACATATAGATCTGAAAATGGCCGACGATGCAATCCCGGACGTACGGGATTGTGAGTCCGATGCGTTGCCGCCAAGTTAACTGGATTTGCTCCAATGTTTCTCCCCACGGCAACACCGATTACTTTACTGTGTTTGTTTGTTTGTTTGTTTTTGTAAGCACCGCATGTCAAACCATTTTCTATTATCATCATAGTTCCAGTGTAGGTGGCATATGCACAAAGTGGTAATTCGATCAGTTCCCAACTGAAATCCATTCAAAATGGATCAAAGAGATGTTGTCCCAATTAACATAATTGATAGGCACAATACATTTAAGCAATTTGTGAGAAAAATGTGAACAAAACGGTATACAGCAAACATGAAAACAACTAACATGGGTGACAACTTTAAATAACAAAATGTTTATCTCAAATTACATGTCAACACACAGTTTACCATTAAAATATTTCGATGCTGCTCAAAGCTGTGAAACCAGACAGATATGATGAATTTGAAAATTCCTATGATAGCAATAAGGAAACGAGTCGGTGAGCGGACAATTGTTTTCGGATATTCTTAGTCATGCTCGTACATATCATATAGTGGAAGAAAATTCTTACATAATGATAGCCATTGGCTCAATTTAAGGTCATTCATCGGAGGCAGAGAGTAATAGAAGTGTATGCGTGTGTGTTTGTAAGAATGTTTAACGTGTTAGTTTCCACTTGGGTCAAGTGACACGTCATGTTCTGCCTTGGTTTTCACACCCGGCCGAAGTATTTTGAGCTTTACCGGATAATCATTGTCCTGCAGCGTTTGGCGGATGGAGCGTAGTTCTTTATCCAGTGTGTCTGCTGAACAAATCTTCCGGCTGAATCTCAAGCGCGATTCTGGGGCGTCTCGTCGACACCGGGCACAAGATCCAATCGGAGAAAGATTTCGATGTTGTTTATCGCATCCCACTCAATCGATCGAGGGCGGCCCGAGTTTGGACGCTTACCAGGCCCCAACCTGTGTGCCCCAAAACGACTGGTGCAGGCGCTCCAAATACTTCGACCGGGTGTGAAAACCAAGGCAGAACATGACGTGTCACTTGACCCAAGTGGAAACTAACACGTTAAACATTCTTACAAACACACACGCATACACTTCTATTACTCTCTGCCTCCGATGAATGACCTTAAATTGAGCCAATGGCTATCATTATGTAAGAATTTTCTTCCACTATATGATATGTACGAGCATGACTAAGAATATCCGAAAACAATTGTCCGCTCACCGACTTGTTCTGTCAGTATGATGAATTGTTGGTCCACATACTTCAGTAAGGTGACCGGCAGATGAGAGGGATCGGATGGTCATGAGGACGTAATATATGGACGAGGGGATCGACGATCCCAGAGCTATACAGAGCTTCATTTAGATAAGTGTCGTATTCAGGCACAGCGGCAAAGCTGATTGAAAATTTCACCTTATTCGATTTTCTCTATTTCTTTGTATTACGCATGCATGTTCAGTTTGCGTGGATTACAACTATGGGGCATGAATCTTGTGAAGAAAGCAACTCATTAGCAGAACGAAACCAAATAATCCAAACAGAAGAATCTACCTGCGCATCCCATTTTTCCCACACAAATCGCAAATGTACATAACCCTTACATTGTACAAATTACTATACCCCCACTCCACCCACCTTATGGAATACATAAATGTGACTGGAGAAGTAAAACAAACGAGTAGATCAATATTCAAATGTTTTTATTTACCCTACTAATAAGTAGTTCAGATTGTAATTTGTGAGGTTTACTCTCCAAATGCTTGCTTACCATGCAATATAATGCAAACTAGAAATATGAATGGCGGAAGTAAGCGGGAAATCGTAATTGGTTAAAACATAGAGAGGGGATGAAAATCAGTCAGATACTTGCTTAATTGTAGACAGAATCAGATTGAATACTGAGGGAAAGTTTGAGGGGACACTGTCAAACGGTGACAGACAGATAATGTAGTTTACGTAACTGAACAATTATCGGAAG